CCCCCCCCCCCCCCCCCCCCCCCCCCCCCCCCCCCGGCGCGGGGCGCCCCGCGCGCCGGGGGCAAGGAGGCGACAGAAGATCCCAAGCAGGCTCTGTGTTGATGGCAACGAGCCCGATGTGGGGCTCAAACTCATGAGCCATGAGATCATGACCCAAGCCAAAGTCAGACGCTCAACTGACTGAACCACCCAGGTGCCCCTAAATTTCTGTTGTTTAAACCACCTGTTCTGTGGTATTTTGTTACGGCAGCCTGAGCTGACACAGACAAGGGGCCTCCTCACCTTCTCTTTGTTGTTTTTTTTTTTTTATTTTTTTTTTTTATTTTTTTTCAACGTTTATTTATTTTTGGGACAGAGAGAGAGACAGAGCATGAACGGGGGAGGAGCAGAGAGAGAGGGAGACACAGAATCGGAAACAGGCTCCAGGCTCTGAGCCATCAGCCCAGAGCCTGACGCGGGGCTCGAACTCACGGACCGCGAGATCGTGACCTGGCTGAAGTCGGACGCTTAACCGACTGCGCCACCCAGGCGCCCCATCACCTTCTCTTTGACACGTCACCCATCACTCATCACTCTCTGCAATCATGTCGCTTATTTCTTTTTACTCTGCCATTATCAACTCCACTAGGATGGAAACTGTAAGAGGGCAGGGGCCTGGTCTGCTCAATCCTCAGAACCTAGAACAGTGCCTGGTATATAATAGATACTCAATAAATACTTACTGAATTAAGCGATGCGAGATAAGAGCTAAATATGTAGCATTTTTAGTTTTTCAGAATTACCTTTTTAGCTTTTATGAGGTTATAGACTCCACCTATCCACACTGCTTCCACTTATTTTCTTTTCTTCTCCCATTCCTTCCTCTTCTGCTTTCCAGAAAAAAAAAAACAAAACAAAACACTTTAAATAAGATTAATTTGGAGTGCTTCCAGCTGGGAAGCAAGAGGAAACAGATGTGACATCCAGAATCACTTCTACCCCTTTACATTTATGTTTGACTTTATTTAATTAGGAAAAAAAATCCAGTTCTGCAAATAGTGAACAAAAGCCAAGAGTGAGGAAAAGGCCAAAGATTATAAGTTACGTAAGATGTAACACAACGTAGTTTTATGTTTACTATAAAGTTCATATTTCCTTAAAATAGGATCAATAAACATTCATCCAACAGCGTAATTCGCCTATGATTCTCCTTGTATACACCTAAATACACAAAGGCTTATTATGGAAAAGACAATAATGTTTTTCAAAGAAGAATCCTATGGGGCGCCTGGGTGGCGCAGTCGGTTAAGCGTCCGACTTCAGCCAGGTCACGATCTCGCGGTCCGTGAGTTCGAGGCCCACGTCAGGCTCTGGGCTGATGGCTCAGAGCCTGGAGCCTGTTTCCGATTCTGTGTCTCCCTCTCTCTCTGCCCCTCCCCCGTTCATGCTCTGTCTCTCTCTGTCCCAAAAATAAATAAACGTTGAAAAAAAAAAAAGAAGAATCCTAAACTTTTTTTTCTTCTTCTGAGTCAATCCTGACCAAAGGGTACTCAAAACAAATGAGAAATTTCTGCACTTTTTCCAGTGAAAGCTGAAGAAGGGGCTTAGAACACAGATGAGCAAACTGTCAGCCCTTGGCCCACACCCAGCCCATAATCCCCAAATCCAAACTTTGAGATTCTTTCCAATCTGCTTTTCTAAGGGCGACTATTGGCTGGCGCTGAGGAGTTCCTGTCCTCTGTGGGTAATGATTATTGAGCTTTAAAGTCTGACCAGATCTCCCCAGTTTATATTTGCCTTACACTCAGCCCCCTTCTTTTATGCCTATCATTTCCTTGGCTCTTCTAAGTTTTCAAGTTTGAAATTGCTGCCTTAAAATAGAAATCAACAGGTTCTAGTGGAATGCTATGCTAAAGTCAGGGGAATATTCAGCCAGGACACAGAGGCAGGTTGTATCCATAACGTATGCCCGATGACCTTCCTGACTGGCTAGGACTCGCATAGTACTGATTATCAAACATTTTGAATATAAATAACTTGCCTGAAATCATTCTGGAAAAAAAAAAACATTTTTAAGTTGGAAATACATATATTCTTAAGCTGACAGTCATTCAAGTTGGCATGATGAATAATAGTCATGTCAGTGAAATATTTTATTATATATTGGAGGCAAAGAAATTAGATGTACAGGCAAGAGTTTAAACCTTGTTCTATTTGGCCCCCCCAAAAAAATCAAACTGTGGATGAATCAAAAATATTAAGTGGAAAAAAATCTGATAATATTCTAAAGTAATTCTCGAGGTTAATCCTGTTCATGCTTATCAAGGTAATAAAAACATTACAGGTTAAGCGCAATTGATAACTCAGTATTGAAATTAGATCTCACAATCGCAAAATATTTGCAGTGATACCCAGTCATCGTACCTGCTTGGCTAGGTCTCGTTATTGTGAAAAATCCTTAATAATCAATAAATACATACATAAGGAAACTTTACAATGGCAAATCGACTCTGTTTCCGAAGAGGTCTATATTTCACTCAAGGAGTTCGTGTCACTTTCCACCAAGTAACTTGAAGGCATTTCTTTCATTCCAGGATTCTCATTAATACCGTGCTTGGCTCTAACATTGAGAGCGAAGACTTTTGGAGAGATTTAGGAGAAATCTCAACATATGTACACTATGGCACATGTAGTATGATAGGAGGAGAAAAATAGGAGACTGGTGGCTGGCTGGGGTCAGCACGGACAATGCAGGGATGCAGCCGACAAATCCCTCGTCCCCTTCTCTTGAATTCTTCACAGGTCTGACTTCACCTGCTATCTAGAATTCTTGCTCCGGACTCTCTCCCGTGCTCTAGAATCAGGTCCTTTATCATACGCTGGACATTTCTACTTGCACAAGCACATTAAGCAACCAAAGTGTCCAGCAGTTCTCAAACCATGATCTATCTACCATTGTCCCCATCAAAGTATGTTCTACCTATTTAACACCTCCTGCGGGATGTCCTCAAAACATGCCATAAGAAACTTCTACTTTTATTCCCTACCCACCCTCACCTCCCTCTTGGCTCTGCTGTTCCTCCTGTAAATCGCATCTGTCTCAGGGAATGGCAATACCAGCCTTCTGACGTGATGACTCTAGCCCCAACTGTAACTCCAATTCCCCCACCAGCCAGCCCCATTTTAAGCCATGCTATCTCACCTCTTACCTGGCATACTGTAAAAGCCTCCTAATGTTTTCTCTGCCTCCATTCTTGCACCCTCTTCACTTCACTTCACTTACAAACCAGCTCCAAGAGTGACTTTCTTCAAACACAAATTAGATCAGGTTATTCCTCGGCATAAAAATCTTGCCCTGGCTTCCCAGTGTGCTTGGAATAAAATCAGGGTCAAGCTGTTTAGCATGGCCTTGAATGACGCCACCATGAACTCCCCACACTTCATTCACGCCTCTCTCCCATTCATTCACCACTCCCTGACCCTGGCTTCCTTTCATTTCCTCGCCATACCTGGCTCATTCCTGCCCAAGGCCTTTGCATAGGCTGTGGCCTCTGACTGGAAGTCTCTTTCCCTCCGCTATTCCCAGAGCTGGCTCTTCAAGTCTTGGCTTAAAATGACACTTTCCCAGAGGCAGTTTCTCTGGCCCACTCTTATTAAAGTACAATCGCCTATTGCACTCTGTCTCAAAACCCGGTTTTCTTTCTAGAATTTGTGACAACTTGTAATTATCTTATTTGCAGCGTTTGCTTTCTCTCTGTCTTACTCACTAAACCGTAAGTTTCAAGAAGTCTGGGACCTTGACCATCTTATGCGTCTTTTCATCTCTAACTCCCTAACGTGGCGCCTTGCCCGTAGGAATCACTTATTGAGTTTACATAAATGGATGAGTGAATAAAAGCCTGTTTACTCCTCAGCATCTCCTCCCTTCCCAGGAGACTGCAAAGTCTAGGAGGGTAGCAGGGTGGCAACTCTATCTTGTTATTAAGACTTCTTTCCCCAGAGCCTAGTACTGTGTCTGGCACACGGTGTATACCCAGTAGATATGTGCTGAATTAAAACAAAATGTAGCAGACCAGGGAAAGAGTATGCACGGGCAGCACTGGAGAATGAATTAGAAATGGAAGGTCATGCCTTATTACTAAGAAGACACCTCTGTTGGTTTTGTCTTTCCTAGGCATTATGAGGTACTGCCTTGTGAGCATTCCCAGAGCCACAGCAAACCAGCAGACTAACAGAGCTCAGGGGAGGCTCCTTGGACATTTATTACAGGGAACCTAGTCTAGAATTTTGTTTTGTTCTGTTTTTACAAAGCTCTCGGTAAAGGGATTTTCCTGCAGAGCTAAAGCCAGTGCGGTTTCTAGAACACAGATGTCCCCTCACCATATCAAGTGGAACAGTGGAAGCACCAATATCTCTTGGCAACCGTGACAACTACGTCCTTCAACTTTATGGCCCTGTGATGTTTGCCTTCTGTTTTGTAGTCCTGGGAACTCCTCCCAGGCAAGGAGCAAGTTACAACCCTCCCCACCCCCATGCAATGAATCTCTTCAGGTTGGGAGAAGTCTCTGGATACCTTTGCCTGTTTTAACGGTCAAAGTATCCAGTTCAATATATTTCTACAGGTGCACGAAGATGAACGTTCCGAGATCTTCTCTGCGGTGTTGTATATAATCGCAACCGTCCAAACATCCACAGTGGGGCTGGGGCGTCCAGACCACGCCATGCTAAGCCGAGGTGGTAAATCTTTGTTGAAGGTGCCTGCTGATGTCAAGGTTGTCCAGACAAGCTAGTAAGTAAAAACAGCAAGATGAAGAACGATGTTTGTTCTTATTTCTATAGAAATAGAGTTTGTTCCTCGTTCTATGAAGTATATATCTATCTACATATAGGTACAAAAAATTTCAAGATACTCAAGACACTGTTAACAATTGTCTCTAGGGGAAGAAGAAAGATGAGAGGAATATCTACATGTGAATAGACACTCTCATATTATTTAAGTAGTTTTTTTTACCATCTGCCATATAGTACTGTTTTTTTCAACAAAACGAGTAATTTTTTTAAACTGATAGCTATTGTCTTATGAATTGTAGAAGGCAATTCTTTTTTAAAAAAATTATTTTACTTTTTTTTTTTTTGAGAAAGAGAGAGCATTGGAGGGGCAGGGGGAGAGAGAGAGAGAGAGAGAGAGAGAGAGAGAGAGAGAGAGAATCCAGGCAGTCTCCATGCTCAGAGCCGAGCCTGATGCAGGACTCAATTCCACGACCCTGGGATCACGACCTGAGCCGAAATCAAGAGTCGAACACCTAACCGACTGAACCACCCAGGTGCCTGAAAATTGCTACTTCTTACGAGCCTTTGTCTTAGCCCAGCCAGCACCAGAGTAGTAAGAATGGGCATTTGATAAAAGTTCCGATCCTATTGACAAATTTTAGGAAGGTAAGCCTGGAAGAGGTGAGGAGGCAGATTTATTTAAGAAGCCTGCACTGTAAAACACTTCCCACAACCCAAGCACTGCTCTAAGTGCTTACATAGAGTAACTCAATTAATCCCTATTATAACTTTTTGAAGTAGGAACTATTATCATCCCCAATTTACACATGAGGAAACAGGCACACAGAGATTATGGGAGTCAATTGAGGTTGTATGACTATCGAAGAACAAAGCCAAGATTTAGACCCAGACAGTTTGGCTCCAGAGTCCACGGCATAGTACCATCATGCTATAGCGCCTCAGGGAGGGAGAGGGGGGACGAGGGCGAGCCAGTTACAAGGCTGATGTAATAGTCCGGAGGAAATGGATAGCCTGTATTTAGGAGGTGAAACCAACGGCAAAATAGACTGACGCTCACTCCCTGATTTCTGGCTTGGGGAACTGGGTAAATTATTAAGCTTTCTACCTGACTTTAGGAAAGCTAGATGTACAAGTTTCAGATCTAGAGGCCAAAAGGAAAAGGAAAAGAGAAATTCTATAAAATAATATTTATGCTCTAAGCACTCTAAATTTTCATTAGAGGAGCTATTTTGTTTAATTCTTAAATATTTTAAGTTTACTTATTTTGATAGAGAGAGAGAGCACGAGCAGGTGAGGGGCAGAGAGAAGGAGAGAAACATTCCCAAGCAGGCTCTGCACCATCAGCTCAGAGGGTCTTGCGGGGCCAGAACTCACAAACCACGAGATCAAGACCTGAGCCGATACCAAGAGTCAGATGCTTCATCGACTGAGTCCCCCAGGCGCCCCTATTTTGTTTAATTCTTATAATTCTGAGAGGTAGGTATTAAATATGAGGGGACTGAGGTTCAGAGAGTTTTAGTAAGGTTACACAATATACTGGAAGTTGCTTACTGTTGCCCGGAATCCTGAGAGCAGACTCGTCTTCTTTGGGGGAACCACATCTCTCCCACTGCATGTAGTCTTGGTGGGTGCATAATTCCAGGTATCTGCCTCCCAGTATGAGTTGAGAAGCTGTGTCTTTCCTCTTTCCAGCTATTGGTGTAGTCAGGGGTGGGCAGGCTAGGCCAGAGCTGGTTTTGATAACTTACAACTAAGAAATCCTAACCAAAACACACAGTGATTATTGTGCCGTTGTGGGAAAGCCACAGTTCAAACTGAAGTCCATCTGATAGATATCTACTATCCACCTAATGCTTTTCCATGACACCATGTTGCTCCCAAGGTATTTGAGAGCAGGATGTATACACACGGTGACTGTTCACCGAACGTTCAATAGAAGAGCCTTTCTGCAAACCGTGAAATGCTTATGCCGCCTAAACTGGTGCAGCCACTCTGGAAAACAATACGGAGTTTCCTCAAAAAATTAAAAATAGAACTACCCTACGATTCAGCAATTCCACTTTTGGGTATTTATCTGAAGAAAATGGAAACACTCATTGGAAGCGATATTGGCACCTCCAATGTTCCTCACAGCATTACTTACAATAGCCAAGATGTGGAAACGACCTACGTGTCCGTCAACAGAAGAATGGATAAAGAAGCCATGGTACGGACACGTACACACAAAATGGAAAACTATTCAGCCGTTAAAAAGGGGAAGTTTGCCATTGGCAACAGCATGGATGGAGCTCAAGGGCATCACGCTAAGTGAAATAAGTCAAACAGAGAAAGGCAAATACTAAATGGTTTCATTTATGCATGGGATCTAACAATAAAAAACCACGCTCATAGATACAGAGCATGACTGGTGTTTCCCCAAGCATGAGGGCGGGCAAAATGGGTGAGGGGAATGAAAAGGTACAAACTTGCAGTTATAAGGTAAGTAAGTCATGTTGCATGTATATAAGGTATAGAATGGTGAACCACATTGAAACCATATTACATACTTAAAAGTTGCTAAGAGAGCAGATCTTAAAAGTTCTCATCACAAGAAGAGGAATCCTTATAACTACATGTGGTGATGGATGTTAACTATACTTATTGTGCCGATCCTCTTGCAATATGTACAAATATTGAATACTCGTGTCGTATACCTGAACTAATATAAAGTTCTATGTCAATTAGAGCTCAATAAAAAAGTAATAAAAAACTAAAAATTAAAAAATAAAATTAAAGGATGCTTACTTAGGGTGAGCAAAGAATTTTGCCAGGCTATTAAATAAAATCAAATTAACCGAGGTGTAATTTACAGATAAAAAATTAATCCTGTGTGGTAAATGATTTTCATATGGTTTTAACAACACGCACCTGTGTAACTGCCATCAAAATCAAGATACAGAGCTCCCTTGTGACTTTGTAGTCAACCCCCACCACCCCAACCCCAACCCCAACCGCTGGTAAGCACTGATCTTTTTTTTTTTTTTGTCCCAATAGTTTTCCCTGTTCCAGAATGCCATGTAAGTGGCATTTCACAGTGGGTAGGCTTTTGAGTCTGGCTTTTTTCATTCAACATGGCGCATTTGAGAGTCATCCATGCTGTCTCATGATCATTAGTTCGCTCACTTATTGGATACATTTTATTAAATATTAAATTTGTTACACGATCAGACAGTTAATAAATACTTGGCAGGCTAGGCACTGTTCCGGGTACTGGTAGGAGAGCAGTGGCTAAGAGAATCTGAGTCTGAGGAGTCCCTGCCTCTGAGGAGCTGATACTCTAGTGTTGGGTAGGGAGGCGGGCCAGCAACAAACACATAAACCAAACTTTTAGGAAATACCAATCAAAACCACAATGAGCTACCACCTCACACCTGTCAGAGTGGCTCAGATGAACAACTTCGGAAACAACAGATGTTGGCGAGGGTGCGGAGAAAGAGGAACCCTCTTGCACTGCTGGTGGGAACGCAAACTGGTGCAGGCCCTCCGGAAAACAGTGTGGAGCTTCCTCAAAAAATTAAAACTAGAGCTACCCTACTACCCAGCAATTGCACTACTAGGTATTTGTCCAAGGGTTATAGGTGTGCTGTTTCAAAGGGACACATTCACCCCCATGTTTATAGCAGCGCTATCGACAATAGCCAAAGTATGGAAAGAACCCAAATGTCCCTCGACGGATGAATAGATAAAGAAGATGTGATCTATGTATACAATGGAGTATTACTCGGCAATCAAAAAGAATGAAATCTTGCCATTTGCAACTACGTGGATGGAACTGGAGGGTATTATGCTAAGTGAAATGAGTCAGTCAGAGAAAGACAGATATCATATGATTTCATTCAGATGTGGAATTTAAGAAACAGAACAGATGAACACAGGGGCAGGGAAGGAAAAATAAGATAAAAACAGAGAGGGAGACAAACCGTAAGAGCTTCTTGAGAACAGAGAACAAACTGAGGGTTGCTGGAGGGGTGGTGGGTGGGGGATGGGCTAATGGGTGGGGGGCAGTGAGGAGGACATGGGTTGGGATGAGCACTGGGTGTTATATGTAAGTGATGAATCACTAAATTCTACTCCTGAAACCATTATTTCACTATATGTTAACTAACTTGGATTTAAATAAAATTTAAAAAAAAAAACAACTTTGGGGACATCTGGGTGGCTCAGTCAGTTAAGCCTCCAATTCAGCTCAGGTCATGATCTCGCGATTCATGAGTTTCAGCCCCGAGTCGGGCTCTGTGCTGACAGCTCAGAATCTGGAGCCTGCTTCAGATTCCATGTCTCCCTTTCTCTCTGCCCCTCCCCTATTCACGCTCTGCCTCTCTCTCTCTCTCTGTCTCTCTCTCTCTCTCAAAAATGAATATTTAAAAATATTTTTTAAAAAACTTCTGAAATAATTTCACTCGAAGTGCCTACAACTGCTACAGTGGGGTATGGGATAGAGTGGCAGAGGTGGGCAGGGGCTGCCGATTTACCTAGAATGGTCTTTTAAGTCCCTCTAAGAGATGTGAATTGAGGTCCTCATGAGGTGGGGCAGCCAGGCAGAGATCTCGGGAAACTGCAAACGGCAGGAAGGGCAGCAAGTGCAAAGGCCTAGAGGGGGACCAAGCTTGGTGTGTATTTGGGCACAGAAGGAAGGGCTGCAGGGACTGGAGAGGTGGGTGTCAGGGGGAGCTGTGGGTTAGCTGGAAGAGCTGGTCAGGAGCCTGGTCAGGTGTGGATCTTTTGTCTTTTTTTAAGTTTATTTATTTATTTTGAGAGAGAGAGAGAGCACAAGTTGGGGAGGAACAGAGAGACAAGGAGAGAGAGAGAGAATCCCAAGCAGGCTCCACACTGTCAGCTCAGAGCCCAACGAGGGGCTTGAACTCGTGAACCGTGAGATCATGACCTGAGCGAGATCAAGAGTTGGACACGTAACCGACTGAGCCACCCAGGTGCCCCTGTCAGGTGGATCTGGTAGGCCCATTGGAGCGCGGGTTTTGTTCTAGTTGTAAGGGGAAGGGTTGGGAGAGTTTTGAACCAGAGAGGGATGTGACATGATTTACTTTTAAACATACCTCTCTCGGGGAAGGGAAAAAAAAAAAAAAAAAAAGTTAGGGAGGGAGCCAAACCGTAACAGACTCTTAAAAACTGAGAATAAACTGAGGGTTGATGGGGGGTGGGAGGGAGAGGAGGGTGGGTGATGGGCATTGAGGAGGTCACCTGTTGGGATGAGCACCGGGTGTTGTATGGAAACCAATTTGACAATAAATTGCACGTTAAAAGAAAAAATAAATAAATAAATAAACATACCTTTCGCTGCTGGGAGGGGAGCAGGGTAAGAGTAGAGGTGGGAGAGGTATGTCTGCGGACTTTCCCTGTGTTTGAGAAATAGCTGGCAGTGACTTGAACTAGGATTGGAGCAGGGCAGATGGTGAGAAGAACTGGAATCTTCTACCTAGGGGGCATGGCAGAAAAAAAAAGAAAAAATAACAATAATCCTCAAAGCTCTTAAATTTTAATATTTATTTTAAAGGCTTTGACCGTAAGAATCTTAGCGTACATCTGGAGAAACACACGAAAGTTTAAAACACTCCGTGTAACATAAAATAGGTCAGTGGCTGATCTGTACAGTGCAGGTAAACTAGTCTTGATAATTGAGGTCAATTTATCCCAAACTGGGGGATGTGAATTGAGGTCCTCCTGATGAATCAGTCTCATTTAGATGCTCTGCAGGAGATCACGGGGCTCCAAGCTGCTTGTGTTGTGAGAATGACGGGTAAAGGACTCACAGGCACCGTGGTCCATGTGTACGCACATGACCCCACATTCAAAGGGCTCTCTATGTGGATTGGATTCCAAAATAGAGAGTTAGGAAGAGACTCATTGCTGAGGTCAAATACCTGGTCAAATCTCCCCACAGCCACACTTGTGAAGCTTTTGGCCCAGAGACAGGAAACATAGAGTCAGAAACATGGTGAGCCACTTACCACAGCAAACTAGTTTAAAAATTCATATTTCCCTGTGGCCTCGGGACATGAAGGCCCATGCAGAAGACACTCGGGCCACTGATCCATATCTGACCACCATTTTTCCGGCCAAGGCCAGCCTCCCTTGTGATCAACTCAGTTCGGAGGAGAGACAAGAGTACATCTTCATGCAGCGTTCTGTTCCTTTAGCTGTTCAAAGGCTTCGAGGACCTTGTTTGTTTTGAAACAAGTCACCAGCCTCCTCCAACCACATCTTCCCAACCTCACAGGACAGCCTGGCAGAAAGTCCGACCTGGGGACCTGAGGAACAGTCGGACCTGGGCCACCCTCTGTCACAGCCCTGCCCCATCCTTGTCCTGCTTTCTGGTTGCCAGTTTGCTTGTGTTTTTAGGGTGGGTTCACATCTGACCCTAGGGCCCTCTGCTCACCTGACTTTCTGTTAAGGTAAGATATGGTTCCAGTGCTGGACAGCAAGGGGGTCCAGAACACGGCCAGCAGCCTTTCAGAGACGGCGAGTCATTTCTATGTTCGCTCAGCCAGGGGGCAGGGGAGTGGGGGATGGAAAAAGAAGAATAAACAGGACTGTCTACAGGCTCCTGTCCTCCTTCTCACCGTGAGCCTGCCCCCAGGGAGATGACATGGCCAAGGCACTGGAAAAAATCTCTGTGGGGCTTAGGAAGACCCCAGAAGAGGATTACCCTTTGAGAAAAAATGGACGGGGGTGTGTCCACTTAAATAAAGAGGTAAACTGAGGCAAGCTCAAAGAGAGGAGTTGAATCAGAAATAGCAGGGGGATTGCCATTCGGGACACACAAACAGCAGCAAGCTACACACAGGTCAGCCGCGTGTTTGGGGCGGGCTCTATGTACTCGCGGAAATCGCAAGGGAGTTCGGTTAGAGTCTGTTGAAGTCAAAACAAGTGGACCCAGCTTTGAAAATTCCCCGGGCAGGTAGAACCGGTCCAGTCATACAAACAAAACCCAATTTAGCTCATTTTGTAAGCCAGCCCGAGCTGGGTCATTTCTTGTTCAGGTCCTGGAAACCATAAGCAAAATCTTTCCAAGGTCAGTAAGAAGCAATCTCTGATGAACTCCCTATCATTTAAGAAAATTCCAATAATTTCAATTTTGTATAAATCAAGCATTTACAGGAAATCAGTCTCTCAGTCAAGTTACGTTTTTCTTTTGTATATTTATTTTAAAAAATTTTTTAATGTTTATTTTTTTGAGAGAGAGAGAGAGAGAGAGAGGGGGGGGGGGCATGAGCAAGGTTGGAGCAGAGAGAGAGGGAGACACAGAATCCAAAGCAGGCTCCAGGCTCCAAGCTGTCAGCACAGAGCCCGACATGGGGCTTGAACTCAAGAGCCGTGAGATCATGACCTGAGCCAAAGTCAGATGCTTAACCAGCTGACCCATCCGAGCGCCCCTTAAGTTATGTTTTTCTGAGGGCACATGCATGAGACTTCCCATTTGCTATCCTCTGATTCAATCTCAGATTGAAATTCTTCGCCAGGGTGGGAGCGGCTTCCCCGCTCCTTCACACAGGTACATAGCCATTCTCTCTCTCCAGCCCCAGCTCCTGTGCCCACACCATAAAAACAAGTGTGGTCAGGGACGCCTGGGTGGCTCAGTCAGTGGAGCGTCTGACTTCGGCTCAGGTCATGATCTCCCAGCTCATGAGCTGGAGCCCTGCATCGGGCTCTCTGCTGTCCGCCTGTCAACACAGAGCTCGCTTCGGATCCTCTGTCCCCCTCTCTCTGCCCCTCCCCCAGTTGCGTTCTCCCCAAATATATAGTTTTAAAAAAAAGTGTGGTCTACTATGAGCATTGCACAATAAAGACTCTTTCTTCTGAAACCTTTTCATGATATGAGAAGCCTCTCTGAAAGACAAAGGCACTTGCGACTAACAGCGTAACCATGGCTACCCAACTTTCTAGATGTTAAATAGCTTCTAGATGAGGACAAGCGTGGAACACCAGAGACGTACCCAGAGAAAGAGAGAAGAGGGCCAAGAAGGTGTATTCACTGATGGGGAGGCATCGTCCCAGTGTTTCCTTGGGGTTGCCTGAGCCACACTCTTCAAAAACATCTCGGGAGCATCGCTTGGTATCCATTCATTTATTCATTAAATGAAAATCTTTGTCTTGTGCCTGACAAGATAGCCTATCTCTTGGCACAGAGCAGATGTTCCATGAATGTTAGTTATGTTATTATCGCTATTGCTTCCAGAAGTGCAGCTGCTGCTACTACCGCATATCATGTTAGACACTGTGCTGCATTCTGGGGACAGAGAGGGGCAAAACCTGTCCTCTGGCCTCAGGGAATTATAGTCTAGAAGAGGGGGCAGGGAGTCGAGCAGCAGGTCAGGACACAGCCTCACCAGTGCTGAGCCACGGTAGACCAGACTTCCATGGGAGTCCAGAGAAGACTGGTGGCCAGGGATGGGTGCTGCTTCTAGACAGAGTCATAACTAAGCGCGGTCTTGAGGAACAAATCGACGCTGGTCGGGGGAACTGTCAGAGTTTTAACTGCGAGCAACAGAAATAGACCGGAGCCGGAAACCGCAGAGCCGTCAGCTGGCCACACAGTCTCTAGGAAGGCCACAGAACCATTGGGAAAAACAGTGCCGAGGTGATATGAGGCTGTTGGTGCTGTGGCATTGGAGACGGCCCCGGGAAACTACACGCTGCTGCCATCGCCCCCGCCAAGGCCAGGAGGGAGTCTTCCCTGCCCCGCCTCTGGGTGGCATTGCTTCCAGAATCCACATCCCAGGTAGGTGCAAGCTGATGCACCAAGATTGGGCTCCCCGCCCACATCTTATGTGCCAGAGAAGTCTTTCTGACTTCTGTACAAGAAGACAGGCGTTAAAGGTGCTATTTCCCAATAGGGTTTATAAGATGAGGAACGTCCTCACACATGGGAAGAAGGTTCAGAGGCTGGGGGTCAAAACGTGCTGAATGTTTTCTACAACTGGGTGAAAAGCAGGCAGGAAAGGGCACTGAGGCAGAGAAGCCAATATACGCAGAAGCCTAATCTGGGCTGAGGGACAGCACGGCGCTTTCGAAGGACTGAGAACTTCGGTGTGCCTGGAGCATGGGGTGGGAGAGGGAGATGTCCGATGCCAGAGCTGGAAAGGCACACAGAATCTAGATCAAGGGAAAGCCTGTTATGTTTTATGCCTGCTAAGGAGTTTGGTCTTTACTCTGGGAATGAGGGTATGATAAGGTTCTAAGTTTGGGGGTAGAGGCCAGGGTAATAGAGGAGGGAAAGGGACCGGCAGGGAAGATCAGATTTTTGAAGTCTGAGCTATGTTGGGATGCCTGGGTGGTTCAGTCAGTTCAGCATCCATCTTCAGCTTGGGTCGTGATCTCCCGGTTCATGAGTTCGAGCCCCTCATTGGGCTCTGTGCTGACAGCTCGGAGCGTGGAGACGGCTTCCAATTCTGTGCCTCCCTCTCTCTCTGTCTCTCAAAAATAAATAAACATTAAAAAAAAATTGAAGTCTGAGCTATGTACTTGAGGCTCTTGCCAGAGAGTCTCTTCTTTATAGTGTTAGACCGGGGATATTTATTTAGCTTTTATGGTCATTTTGCGAACCAGTCTTCCATTCTGTCTTTCTATCATAGGGTATATCCACCTTTCCCAGATTGCATCTATCACAGAGATTTTTCCTGGGCTGTAAATCCCTTTTACATTTGAGGGAAGCATAGATACAGGCAGGAAGAAACTGACCAGGGTCGCAAGGAATTAATTTGTTTAGATCCTGCCCAGTTAAACTTGGCTACAGCTAATTTTCTCAATGGTATAAACACCACGGAGGCGAATCACGAGAAACAGACATCCTTCAGATCTATGCTGCCAGCTTCAGAGTCTCTAACCTCCTCTCTCTGCCCCTCCCCCCTTGCATGTGTGCACTCTCTCTCTCTCTCTCTCAAAAATAAATAAACATTAAAAAAATAAACAGTAATTCAAACTTAGTGCAACATGCTTTCCAGTTCACCACCTGTTCCCTGCATTCCCCATCATGCCTGCCCACAGAACCAATGGCAGCAATCTTTGCAAAATGATACCTTTTCAACAAGCCCTCCTCCCCACTCCCCCATTCCCCTCCGCGCCCCCCCCCCTTCCACCGCAGCAGGTCCTTTACCACTGAGGACGGTCCTATTCATTGATGTCTGGAAATCCTTGGTAGAGTAGATGCGATAGGATCACAGTAGCTGAGGGTGATTCTTTCTTTTTTTTAATTTTTTTAGTGTTTATTTTTGAGAGAGAGAGAGAGAGACGGAGCATGAATGGAGGAGGGGGAGAGAGAGGGAGACACAGAATCTGAAGTAGGATCCAGGCTCTGAGCTGTCAGCACAGAGCCCGACACAGGGCTCGAACCCACGAACAGTGAGATCATGACCTGAGCCGAAGTCGGACACTCAACCGACTGAGCCACCCAGGCTCCCTGAGGGTGATTCTTACATAGTCCTTCACAGCAAAGGATGCCAGGGATACAAGTGATTTTTGGGTCTAGAAAACTCAGTGATTCATTAGTGTGGTCTCACAAAAGCTTACAGTGCACACATGCTTTGAGTAACATGGCTCAATCTTTCTGTATGATGGAGGGTTTGTGAATTTTAAAAATTTTTTAAACATTAAGCCCGGGTTATGTAAGAGTGGGAAGACTTTTCCCTGGATGAATGTCTTCAGCTCTAATTGGATTATCTGGCTAACTAAGGAAACTAGCTAAGATTTCAAAATGTCAAAATCACTGCTCCCATCACTGTGGGTAAAATGGGACTTAAGGGAATTTCAGTCCTACTATCTGGAAAAAGTTGCAATGACCTTGAGAGAAACATGTCTGATGGCATATTGAATCAGCTTGCATTCAGTATTGTGGATACAGGCACAGCCACATGAAAGCTGGGTTTTTTGTTGTTGTTCTATTAGAGTAGAAGGCATCCCCTCCTCTGGAATATTCTGGCGGCATTTGGGGGCAATTCAGAGACCACGTCATATATGCATTCTTTTTCACATTATGCAGTTAAAAAATTATTTTTTCGGGGCGCCTGGGTGGCGCAGTCGGTTGGGCGTCCGACTTCAGCCGGGTCACGATCTCGCGGTCCGGGAGTTCGAGCCCCGCGTCGGGCTCTGGGCTGATGGCTCGGAGCCTGGAGCCTGTTTCCGATTCTGTGTCTCCCTCTCTCTCTGCCCCTCGCCCGTTCATGCTCTGTCTCTCTCTGTCCCAAAAATAAACGTTGAAAAAAAAATTAAAATAAAAAAAAATTTATTTTTTCTGTATACTTTACATTGAATACTTCAGGAAAGAAAATAAATACAGTGATTTTAAAAGACAGTCCCCAGACTCAATAGATATTCTTCATAATTACTCCCAATCAATATTTAGAAACACATAACACGAAGTCAATTAATAAATAAAAATAAGTAAAATAACCATGTAAATAAAAATCTCAGAGGTGGGGAACATACACTATCAGTGAAGTCATTTTGCCACTTTGTTTTGTTTTTTTTTTTTTCAACACTGTCTGCATGTGTTTTAATCACATATCCATCCATCTCAAGAGTTAAATTAGACTGTGGGTGCCCTCATTTAAAACTGAGTCTTGGGGCGCCTGGGTGGCTCAGTTGGTTAAGCAGTTAAACATCCGAACCTTGATTCCTGCTCAGGTCATGAGCTCATACTTGTGAGAATGCGCCTCATTTTGGCCTCTGCACTGAGCATGGAGTCTGCTTAAGATTCTCCTCCATTTGGGGGCGCCTGGGTGGCGCAGTCGGTTAAGCGTCCGACTTCAGCCAGGTCACGATCTCGCGCTCCGTGAGTTCGAGCCCCGCATCGGGCTCTGGGCTGGTGGCTCGGAGCCTGGAGCCTGTTTCCAATTCTGTGTCTCCCTCTCTCTCTGCCCCTCCCCCGTTCATGCTCTGTCTCTCTCTGTCCCAAAAATAAATAAAAACGTTGAAAAAAAAATAAAAAAAAAAAGATTCTCCTCCATTTGTACCACCCTGTCTATAATAAATAAAAAAATTACAATTAAAATTTTAAAATATGGGAATGAAAGCTGGTGCAGCCACTCTGGAAAACAGTATGGAGGTTCCTCAAAAAATTAAAAATAGAACTACCCTACGACCCAGCAACTCACTACTAGGCATTTATCCACGGGATACAGGTGTGCTGTTTCGAAGGGACACATGCACCCCCATGTTTATAGCAGCACTATCAACAATAGCCAAAGTATGGAAGGAGCTCAAATGTCCATCAATGGATGAATGGATACAGAAGATGTGGTATATATATATACAATGGAGTATTACTCGCCAATCCAAAAGAATGAAATCTTGCCATTTGCAACTACGTGGATGGAACTGGAAGGTATTATGCTAAGTGAAATGAGTCAGTCAGAGAAAGACAAAAATCATATGACTTCACTCATATGAGGACTTTAAGAGACAGAACAGATAAACATAAGGGAAGGGAAACAAAAATAATATAAGAATAGGGAGGGGGACAAAACATTAGAGACTCATAAATATGGAGAACAAACTGAGGGTTACGGGAGGGGTTGTGGGAGGCGGGATGGGCTAAATGGGTAGGGAGCATTAAGGAATCTACTCCTGAAATCATTGCTTCACTATATGCTAACTAATTTGGATGTAAATTTTAAAAAAAACTTAAATAAAGTAAAAAAAATTAAAAGGAAAATCTTCACAAAAAAAGGAGTCTCAATACCAGTGTTCATAGCATAATTCACAATAGCCAAAAGGTGGAAACGGCCCAAGTGTCCATCAACACATGAGTGGACAAAATGTGGTATAACTACACAATGGAATATTATGCAGCCTTAAAAAGCAAGTGCTGACACGTGCTACAACATAGATGAACCCTGAGAACGTGATGCCAAGTGAAACAGGCCAGACACACAAAAGGCAAATGTATATAATTCCACATATGTGAGGTACCTAGAGAAGTCAAATCCATAGAGACAGAAACTAGAACATTGGTTGCCATGGGCTGGGGGACCAGGGGACGGGAGTTAGTGTTCGATGGGCAGTTTCCATTCGAAATGATGAGAGAGAGGATGCTGGAGCTGGATGATGACAATGGCCACACAATGACGGAACGTATTTAATGCCACTGAATTGTAAACGTAAAAATGGTTAGGGGTGCCTGGGTCGCTCAGTCTGAGCTTCAGACTCTTGATTTTGGTTCAGGTCATGATCTCGTGGTTCATGATCTCTGTGCTCACTCGTGGAGACTGCTTGGGATTCTCTGTCTCTCACCCTCTCTCTCTGCCCCTCCCCCACTTGCTCTCATTCTCTCTCTCTCTCAAAATAAATCAAACTTAAAAAAAAAAAAGGTTAGTGCTAAATCTTTTTATGTATACTTTACCACAATTAAAAAAAATTTAAACAAAACAAATCCAAGTCTCAGGAGAAAAGATTCCCAGCCCACTGGCCCTTTTTTTGTTGTTGCTCAAGACCACCTGGCTTTTTCTTAAAAAAAAAAAAACAATTTTTTAACATTTATTTATTTCTGAGAGACAGAGAGAGACAGAGTGCAAGCGAGGGACTGGCAGAGAGAGGGAGACACAGAATCCAAAGCAGGCTGCAGGCTCTGAGCTGTCAGCACAGGGCCGGATGCAGGGCTTGAACTCACGGACTGTGAGACCATACCTGAGCCGAAGTCGGACGCTTAACCGACTGAGTAACCCAGGCACTCCTTTAATTTTTTTAATGTTTATTTTTGAGAGAGGGAAAGAGAGAGAGAGAGAGAGAGAGAGAGAGAGAGAGAGAGAGAGAGAGAGAACATGCATGGGGGAGGAACAGAGAGAAATGGAGACACAGAAACCGAAGCAGGCTCCAGGCTCCGAGCTGTCGGCACAGAGCCCGACCCGGGGCTCGAACCCACAAGCTGTGAGATGGTGACCTGAGCTGAAGTCAGACGCTAACAAGCTTAAAGAAACAGCCACCCAGGCGCCCTACACCTGGCTTTTTCTTTGTACTCACCCTTCTCCCTTCCTGCGTTGTCTTTACCAGCATTTCCCACAATTGGTTCCTTCCTGACACTCGGATGTCAGCTCAAGTTTCTCCTTCTCCAGTCTATCACTTGATCCCGTTATTTCTTTACTTTTTTGTGATCTGTCTCTCTTCACTAGAATATAAACTTCCCCCCAGATTCCATCTGTCTTGTTCTCTAGTCCTTGGAACAGAGTCCGACCCTAAATTGGTGCTCAGTAAATATTTGTTGAGTGACTGAGCCTGTGACTCGGGCACATAAAGCATCAGTGCATGTTCTTTATAAACAGAACCTATTTGAAGTCAAGTGCACGGATTCAGGGCTGTGCCTCTATTTTCTGGAGTCTGCATTCTTATGCTCTCTCTCCCTTCCCAGCCTCCCCTCCCAATTTTCCAAACCCTACTTCCAGTTTAATATCATTTAAGTGAGTAATATCAAACCTCTGGACATGGACCCCACCCATGTTAAAGTCCGTTTGGTCCACACCCGCCATGCCGCCCTGCCCACGCTGGAGAGGCTGGAGCTCTGGATTGGGGAAGTGATTTGAAAGTTGGCAAAATCAAGCAGCCCAGTGCCTGGGGCCTTGTGGCATGATTCTGGAGTGAAATGAAGAGCAGCTAGTCTCGCTCCCATGTTCTCATTTTATTACTGTCATCCGCTTGTGCAAGGCTCACTGCCAGCTGTGATAGGCCAAGGAAGCCATTAGGTGAGAAAAACCAGAAGCCACCAGAACTGGTCTCCATTTGAGCTTCTGTTCTCACACAACGGTACCTTCGGCACTACCATTCTTGGGTCTCTGGAACAGCGCCTTACCAAGCATGGCCTGAGAGCTGGGGGCTGGCTACTGCTTTGAAGAGCCCCGTGTTACTGGGAAATATTTTTATCCGGTGAGCTCATGTTTAAGCCTTCAAGTTTCACTGGCAGAAAGTTGCGTTTATCTCCACCAGCTATTAATCCAAGCGATCACAATCCCCAGGGACCCTGGGCAAGGTCAAAGACAGAGATCTGATCTGCCATTGGTGGTAAACAGTAGGCGAAGTAAGTGGAAGAGATCATTTGTTTCTTATAGTAAACCTTTTTCTACCATAGAGGTTTTACCTACCCTCATTTAAGGTACCTGTGATCTTTCCTCCCTTCTCTAACCACAGACTGCACACCCCCTCCAGCCTGTCGTGCTGCAAATATAGGTTCCTGTCATGGGGAATATTGGGAAAAATATGAATTCGAACGCGTCACTCTGGAAAGATGATTCGAGGCACAGATTGGCAGGAGGAATGGACAATGACATCCATATGTGTTTATTACAGTAGTAAAGAATGGTACGTGAGGAAAATAGTATGTGTTTCTGGATGATTTTGCCCAAAAGCATGGAACTAATCATGAGTTTATGCACATATGCCTCTTTCCACAACTGCCCCCCCACCTCCCTGCCTCTTTGTTTTTTCCATGAATCAGGTTGCTATGACTGTCACAGGAACTAGGAACTTCTCCCGAGCTCTGCTAAAGCCGTTGAAAAAAGAAAAACAATCTAATATGCCGGGAATAAAAGCCAGCGTGGCTCATTCCTCATCAACTACTCCAGCTGAGCCTTCTCCACGTCTGCCAGCTGGGGGATTCCATTCTCTAGCTGCAGTCCACCGACACTCCTCGAGTGCAATGCCATTACAAGGAATTAAAAAAAAAAAAAAAACACATCGTTGAATTTGGTATAGTTTGAGTGGCCAGTGGGTTTGTCTTTGAAGCATGATTTCAAGTGGTTACGTTTTTAAGTATTTCAATGATTGGGTTATTTGGATAGTAAATATAAGAAAATTACTCATGTTGGAAAAATTCTGTAATAAGACTAATTGAGTTAAAAATAGTTAATTATGGGTACTTGGGTGTTCTGCTGATTTGGGAGTTAATATATAGGCTATAGATACATTCTCTCTCTATATCCTCTCTTCTCTTATTTAGTTCTCAGTCTGATTGTATTTTGAATTTACTACTCTGGTAGGCAGAATCATGCCCCCTCTATTTGCATCTTAATCCCATGCACCTGTGAATATGTGACCTTACGTGGCAGAGGGACTTTACTGATGTGATTAAGGTCAAGGAGCTTGAGAGGAGATGATCCTGGATTCCCCAGAGGGGCCCAGTTTAATTGCATGAGTCCTTAAAAGTGGATGACGAGGGCAGAAAAGTGGGTCAGAGAGACGTGATGTGAGAGGACTCTTCCGGCTTTGAAGATGGAGAAGGGAACCATGAGTCAAGGAAAGCGGGCAGGCTTAAGAAGCCGGAAAAGCCAAGAAAGGAGTTGCTTCCCTAGAACCTACAGGAAAACAACAACAAACAAACGGAGCCTTGTCAACATCTTGATTTTTGCCCAGGACTTTTGACTTACAAAACTGTGCTCTAATACATTTATGTTGTTTCAAGCCACTAAGTTGGTGGCAATTGGCACAGCAAAAACAGAAAAGCAATATAGTGGGCAATTTCCAGACATCTTTAGCTGTCAAGTTAGGGAAAAAAGTCGAAAATTTGGAAGCTCTCATTGTACAAAAGAATTTCTCTGCAACTGTTTTGTGTGTGTGTGTTTAATTTTTTTTAACATTTATTTATTTTTTGAGAGACAGAGAGAGACAAAGCATGAGCAGGGGAGGGGCAGAGAGACAGGGAGACACAGAATCCGAAGCAGACTCCAGGCTCTGAGCTGTCAGCACAGAGCCCGACGCGGGGCTCGAACTCACCGACCGCGAGATCATGACCTGAGCAGAAGTCAGATGGTCAACTGAATGAACCACCTAGGTGCCCCAAATTCTTCTGTACCTTTGGTACAAAAATCAGCCAGTCTTGGGGCGCCTGGATAGCTCGGTCAGTTAAGCATCTGACTTCGGCTCAGGTCATGATCTCGCGGTCCGTGAGTTTGAGCCCCGCCTCAGGCTCTGTGCTGACAGTTTGGAGCCTGGAGCCAGTTTCAGATTCTGTGTCTCCCTCTCTCTCTGCCCCTCCCCTGTTCATGCTCTGCCTCTCTCTGTCTCAAAAGTAAAGAAACGTTAAACAAATCAGCCAGTCTTAAATTTCACCTTCCCTTCTCCCTATATATTTACAAAAAGAAGAAAACAATAATAATAATCACTATCATCAACTGAGGTCTTGCTTGTATCATATACCACACTAAGCACTACAAATACTACCTCACTTCATGACCACGTTAACCCCGGTGAAGAAAGGGAGGCTCCAAAAGGTGAAGAAAGGTTCTCAATATCACACCGTTAGAGGAGGCAGAACAAGGTTGGGACCGAAGTTCCTTTGACTCCAGAGCCTGTAAATACATGACCGTAACTCTGAAGTTAGGTCCACTGCCTCTAGCCCCACCTTTGTTATGACGGTGGCAAGACAAGTGGCTCTAACACTGATCCGCTGGGCAAGCTTGCATCATGGATTTTCCAGGACCATCCTGCTGATTTTATTTTTTTTTAATTTTTTTTTCTTTTTTTTCAACATTTTTATTTATTTTTGGGACAGAGAGAGACAGAGCATGAACGGGGGAGGGGCAGAGAGAGAGGGAGACACAGAATCGGAAACAGGCTCCAGGCTCTGAGCCATCAGCCCAGAGCCCGACGCGGGGCTCGAACTCACGGACCGCGAGATCGTGACCTGGCTGAAGTCGGACGCTTAACCGACTGCGCCACCCAGGCGCCCCATCCTGCTGATTTTAAATGTCCTGTCTCGTTGTCCTCAAAAGTCACCAAAATGTCCCAGAAATTCTAATTGCTCTTCAAATAGTAAGTAAATGTTATAATAAAATACACAGAATCCCCCCCCCCCCCGAACCATTTATCAAATCGTATTTCCTTAATCGTTATTCAGAAAATATGGCCCAGATACCGCTGTGTCACTTAGTCCCTTAGATGGGTTATGGTGGGCCCAAATGAGCTTAGTGCAGCACTAAGTGAAAGGTGAGGGGGACCATAATCGTAGTCATTTGATATTTAGGGCACCTCATACTGGATGGCAACTCCAGAGACACAATTTAGGACCTAGGGAAGGTATGTAAATTACATCCCAATTAAGCTGACTTTAAAAATAAGCAATAACCTGGGCTGCCTGGGTGGCTCAGTTAGTTAAGTGTCTGACTTTGGCTCAGGTCATGATCTCATGGTTTGTGAGTTCAAGCCCCGCGTCGGCCTCTGTGCTGACAGCTCAGAGCCTGGAGCCTGCTTCCGATTCTGTGTCTCCCTCTCTCTCTGCCCCTCCCCGCCTCACATTCTGTCTCTCTCTCAAAAATAAATAAACATTAAAAAGATGTTTTAAATAAGTGATACGTCTTCTTCATAAGGTAAAGGCAAACCCCATTCTTTTTTTTTTTTTAATGGTTACTTATTTTTTGAGAGAGAGAGAGAGAGAGCAAGCAGGGGAAGGGCAGAGAGAGAGAGAGGGAATGTATGCTGACAGCACGGAGCCTGATGCGGGGCTCAGACCCACAAACCACGAGATCATGACCTGAACCAAAGTTGGACACTTAACCAACTGACCCACCCGGGCTCCCTAAGGCAAACCCCATTCTTGGCTCCTGCAACATAATTTGCATCTATGTGGTCCATACAGCAAAGGAACACTGCTGACTTGGGTGTCCTGGACGAAACAGTTGATTGGTGGCCGATCATGTTGTTCCTCACAGCCTCGCCACACTGCGCACGCTGGCCTCCCACAACCTTGGATGTGGCTGCCTTCCCACTGCCGCCCCTCTGTGCCCGCTCTTCCCTCAGCGGCTGCTTCCCTGAGTGCCTCCTTCGGATGCTGCGGATCTCTGCTTAAATGTCACCTCCTCTGAGAAGCTCTCCTTGATTTTCTGGAACCACATCGAATGCCTGCTGTTAGGCTGTCACCGTGCCCCCACTGGTTTGCTTCACTGACCTTTCCCTTTTTACTCTCTGCTTATTGACTTGTTTATCACCTGTATTTCCCTGGGGGTGGAAGCCCCGCGAAAGCAGGTTCTGCCGTTGCTTTGTTCACGGTTGTATCCCCAGCACCTCATTCGCTTCCTAGCACAAAGTGGGTGCTATAGACCACATGTTTATGTCCCCTAAAGTTCATGGGTCGAATTCTAATCCCCATGGGATGGTAATTAGACGTGGAGCCTTGGGGAGGTAATTGGGTCATGAGAGTGGACAGTCTTTTATAAAAGAGACCTCAGAAAGCTCCCCCACCCCTCAGCCACGCAAGGATGTATGTTGAACTGCACTGAAACCCAGGTTGTGTGAAGAGTATTTGCAAGTACGTTTCTTCTCTGTGTCGAGACGCTTCTGGGGTGATTCCATGGGGTTTGTGGAACCAGGTCGTGTCCACTGTGACCAGAACATCGGGGTGTGCCCCAATACCTT